TCCCTTCTGCTTTGTTCTGGATCATGTGACTTTGAGTAATTTTAGGCTAAATTCAGTGTCAGAATATCAGAGCTGCTGTTTAGTTAACAATAATTGACATTATAGATGGGGTAATTCTCCATAGACAATTACTCCCTGTCTCATTGTTCAAAAGAACCTTTCATAACTCAGATGAGTCCATTTGGGCCAGTCGTACACTTGTGCAGAGCAATTTTGGAGGAGGATTAATCCCAGAGTAACATCATTTGCACATGGGGAATGAATTTGTTGCTTAAATCAGCCGCATGCTCACAGAGGTGTATCTAGTCAGTGGAGAAGAGCAAAATCCATTTCAGCATAATGAATCCAAAAGGCGCAGGGCAATTAAAATCACCAGAACATTGGTTCTCAATTTGTGGTGTAGGATGATATTATTCCCTGTGCTTCCTGTTACTCTCCCTGCAAGCTCTCCCAAAGCAGGCATGCTTCAGCTGAAGCAAAATACAATGTTGTCTGCTGCACTTTTTCCCTTGAAATTTTTGCTAGAGTCCACAGCCCTCAAGGTGTGGGGCTACAGGAGTGGTCCGTGTGGAGATTGAAGCCAGACTTTCTTGTTTGTCAGGAAAGTCATAGGAAGTATTTCAAGCTACAAATGGGGTGTGTCTTCAGTGACCTTAGAGTACAACTCTGCATTGAAGATGACCTGGAAAAATAACACCTCTTTTCACATGTTTTTCTTGATTTTGAGTACTCAGGATCTGATCTGCTGAGCCCAAATACTTTGTTAAGGCTTTTAAATTATACTTCCTGCAGACCTAGCATAACTAAGAGAGATAAAGAACGGTATTCTTGTCTCCTTATACGCACTTCATACAATAACTCTCCAAGTCCTAGTCAGGGACAGCTGCAGTGCACTGAAGATGAGAGAAGTGGTCTTTCTTTGCTTGCAGTTTCCTGTTTGTGTTCAGAGAAATGGGGGAAAAAAAACCAACAATTTCGCTCTGACTCTGCCAGGGCAGGAAAAGGGGAGGGGGTGCACTGGTGGCAATGAGAAAAAGACGTATTTTATTAAGTAGTTTTACAGAAGTTGACATACATTAATAAAGCCATGGGAGTTCAGTGGCTTTATGCACTACGGAAGGGGAGCCACATAGCCACATGTGAAGAGATTTTGACTCACTCATAAATGAAGTTGACTGCATGTCATTGTAAATTTAATATTTGGTCCTGTACTCGCCAAACATTCACACGTAGTTTACTGATATGCTTAAAGTTATATGCACAAGTCTTTGCATGAAGCTGGGATCAACCCTGTATGTTGACAAAACAAACTTTACATTTTAAGAAGCATGTTGGGAATCTGTTCCAGATTGTCTACTGATTACCAGAACTGACAGCCACTAATCATGTCTTACCTTAATTTCCTGCCTTTCCTTTTTGGACTGAGTTTAGTTATCAGACCTTCCCTTTTCTTGTAGCATTCTCTTCCAGGCAAGTACTGCTTGTGTGGATCTCCTCTGTTCCTTTACTTACAAGGGGTTTTCTTTTTGTTCCACAGATTAGGACTCATAGATGCCTACCAATGGTAAGACACTATCTTGGTCTGCAAGCTATATTTCTTCTTTTGAGACTCTTTAAACAACTGTTTCTTTTTTTTGATCCTGTTCTTGAGGGGATGTTTCTTGGCTCAGTTGCCCTGCCATCACTGCCAGTCTAAATGGAACAGCCAGTTCATTTAAACAAAGTTTAATCTGATGCTACTTAGTTTATCTTCCCAATTTGCCCACTCACAGCATAGGTCGTTCCTTTCAGGATTGCATGAAGTGGATTAATTTACAACCCATCAATGATTTTTGATATTAAATCATTAAGCCTTGCTCCATGTTGAATAGATTCTGACCGCCATCGCATGAGATAAACAGGCCACAGAACCACAAGCAATTTGTGACCTTTAACAGCTCTATGAATAACTCCTTTTGCAATTGACAGGGCAATTGGGTCGAAAAATCTTCCCTAACAAAGCAGTTGATGCAATTAAAACTGTCCTGCTAAGGAGACAGAATAACCTTTGAATTAACTGTTTAGCCTATTAGAACGGCAGAAGGATCTTAGTGTTCCTCTTGACAAGTGTTTCTTGGTTCGTACTTTGTCACAGCTACTGAGAGGTGATAGCGTGGAGAATTTTAAATTTAGAAGAGTATATTCAAATACTCTGCAGTATTTGGAATGATCATTAGGGACGCTGCCTTGAAAAAAAACAGAGTTAAGCGTAGGATTCTTCACTCTCCTCTTCCCACAGTATGAAGTAACTTAGGAACCTGCCAGTGCACGGCAGACCTTTACATCATCCATTTGCAAGCAACGTGAATGAAATGTCTTCCTTTATTGTTTGTGTTTATGGGCCAGAATATACCATATCATTTCATCTGAGGGAAGGATTATTCTTCCCAAGGGTGATCAGTTGTGTGGTTAGATGCTGAGATATAGCCTGAGGAAGTCTGGTGTTCAGTGGCAGAGCCTTCCAGCACTACTAAGATAGCTCAGCCGTGCCTCATGCTTCCCTCAAGAGAGAAGATTAAGACATTGCCCGTCAGCCATTTGCATTTTCGTGTGGTATGTAGCAATCACATTCTGGAAATTCTTTCCTCCTGTGATCTCGTTTTGGAGACTCTTTCCTCCTCCATTCCCTCCACTCTATCACAGATGATGTCACTCCCAGAGAAGACTAAAACTGTTATTACCCCCTGCCTTAGCAGGGTCTGGTGTCCTAGGAAGGTGCAGGATAGGAGTAATCCTGGATGCTTCTGGACTACAGTCCAGAATCTGCCAGAAAACAGGTAGGTGGTTTGCCAGCATCCATCTTTTCAGTGGAGGTGGCAGGAGAGAATGAAATTAATCTCCTCCAATTTAGTGATTTAATTTAGTACCAAAGCTGGCTCACAAACTCCTTGAAGAACAGTTGAGTCATTCCTTTTTGAATATAATATTTGCTGACTTTAGAATGGACAGCTGTATGAGATGTGGTCCCTTTTGAAATCCTTTATGTATTGCCTGTTTCTACCTGTTTTCTTCTCCCACTAAGCATGCGGATATTGTGGGGCCTGACTGCTTCAGGAGTGCCTTGTTTGTGGGAGAATCATTGGGCAAAGAGGCAACTGATGATCTGAAATACTGTTGTGCTTCTGCCCCGTTCCTAAATTTTAGAAAGCTTTTCAAAAAAGTAGATAAAGGGACATGGTCAAAGTCCTCTGAATCTTCTTCAGTTCACTACATCTTTCCTGTTGTGCAGGTTTCTTTCCATAAAGAATATGAGTTGCAAAAGTATTTGGCTTGATTTTGCAGAGTTATTTTATCTTATTTTCACACTCCTTCCTTTGAACTGTAGATAGAAAAGAGCTCAGTGCTGTAGATGCTGATCTTGGCTAGACTTGGAGAGGTCTGTGGAAATGAGGTGGGAAAGTTGGGCGATCAGAGTTTACTCTGGGAAGTCACTTGCTTTCTCTGTGACCAGGGATTATTGAGTATATTGCCTTGTAAACTGGGGTCCTGATCCTGTTTGCAGCCTCCAGGTGCCAGCTTATTAGCACGAGCAATAACAAAACAGGTACTTCGTAATGAACAACGTGTCCCCACTACCATCAGCTTGAGCAGCATTTCAGACAGTCGTTCTACACGTAAGGCACCCATTTCCTCACTCTGATTATCATCCTGCACATCAGTGGATAAGATGGCCTCATACTGAACCCTTTACAGTCCAGGTACCTTTCTGATCTTCTGGTGTAACGCTGGTGAAAGTACACAGTGGCAGAGCAGGTGTTATCTGCTGTCTTAGAATGGATATTACTATGTTGTCTTGGCCTTGCTCCTTCTCTAGATGGAGAAGATTGAGCTGCGTTGGGCTCTTTAATTTCAAATTTTCTTTGAAGCTTGAATGCTGGAGTGTTCCATTGGGTCCTTGTGTGGCAAGGTAGAAAGGAGGAGTTGGACTTAAGGAACAGCAGCACTGGTGAGCCACTTGCAATCCACGGCCAGTGACAGCATTCATATAATCATTTAGCCTCCCTCAGAGTCCAGCGAAAACAGGTAGCCCATCACTCTCCTTGCAGGCGCCTGGTCCTATTACTCTTGTTTTGGGGAGAAACCAGAGTGCAGTGCTGGGCCATATGGAGGCAGGCAGAAAGTCAGTGCTAAAGCCAGGCAAAACGTGCCCAGACCCCACTCTTGTCAATGGGAGTGTTTTAGATTGACCTCCCTGAATGCCTTTTTTTGTGGATTCCCAAAAAGTTGTAGCACAGCAGAAACTGTCTGAAACCAAAGACAGTGTTTTACCCAGCATCAGAACCTGGCGATGCTTTGCATGTTTATTTCTTGAAACATTCAACAAAACGATCTTTCAAATGTCATTTCAGTCATAGTTTTTCATTACCCTCTTTTTTTTTTTTTCCTTTTTATTCCAGTAGAATATTCAACTTCAGGGACTGCAATATCTTTGTTCTTTCAGTCTTACTTTTTTCAAACTGGCTGCGGAGGCTTCAGTATAACAAGAGGGTTACATAAAAGATCAAGATTATATTTGTTTTGAAAGAAGACCGAAAAGAATACATTCTGCTTATGAATGGTCACTAAGAGAGCACTGATCTTCATAGTGCCTTGCTGTGCAACACAGGAGTTTGTGATGATGATAAAAGGGTATAGATTTTTAAAAGGATGAAAGGAAATGCTCTTCCAACTTGGCACATAACAAGCTCCTGGAATTCATTGCGGGGGGACGTTGTTGCAGCACATACTTCAGTAAGATTCAAATCTCTGAAGAACTACCAATCCTCCAGGTCCAGCACATGAACTCTGGGGCTAGTTAGGGTTGCAGAAACTTATTTCCCCCATGGAATAACGTTGCACAGTCCCCCAGTTGCGAATGGAGGGCTTAGCTCTCCTCCTAAGTATGAGCTACTAGGAGAAATAGCTAGACAAGCTCATGACTGTTTTTGAGGTGAGAAACATCCCATGTCTGGATACTATTGAATGAAGGAAAACCTCAGGGAGCATTTTCCAGTTTAAAGGGAATTTTCTCTTCATCTGCAGGCAGTTACTTTTTCTTTCATCTGGGAAGAATGGAAAATTTCTCAATTCCTTTGCTTCTTCTAAGCACAGTCATCAGAAAGGATTCACAGGCTTGATCCTCAGCACATTTAATTCAATGGACTTTTTCCATTAACTTTAATGGGTTTTGTTTCGCTCCTTTTGCCAAAATGGCCTCTCAAAGTGCTTTGAGATCTACAGATGAAAGCCCTGGATGAGCAAGGGTAGAATTTATTATTATTGTTCATCTGGAAGAAGCTGAGTTATTTCATCTCCTCACAATGACTTTATAAACTCTGTTGCCAACAAAAGGGGAGAAAAGATGCTAGGCTTAGTCTCAACTGTCTTTGCACAGGCTGAGATATGCTTATAGACATCATCAGAAATGTTTGTGCTATTATTTATATTACTAGTTGCAGCTAGAGTTGTCACCAGCTGGTTTGCCAGTTCTGCTCAGAACTACCGAGCTGCTACAGATTGATCTGCCATGGCCAGCACCCATATCCCTCACATTTATGAGGTCTGTCCAATTTCACAAGTCGCCACCCTCGGCATTAGATCTGCCCGTCAACTTCCTTGCAAACTCTTGAAAAGCTGCTAAGTGGATCTCCCTGTGGGCAGTTCCCAGTGTATTAGTGGAAACTCCAGTTCTTCTTAATGCAGTCTGTATGAAATGGATAGAGATGAAGACCACCATGCCATTGCACAGTCTATGTGTTCATATCCTAAGCGTAATCTTCATCACAAGGTGTGAGGTGGATACAACTGAGCCTTAGCAAGCCAAGCTAACACCCAGCAGCACAAATAGAAAGCATGTGGGTCCCAGGGATCAGAAAATATGTGTCCCATTCTTGAGCCTGTTGTTCAACTTGCAGTATAGGCGTAACTGCACTTTGTGTGTCAGTGCTAATAAGAAGAGGTAAGAAGTTCTATGATTCCATGATTCTATGACGTTCTGCTTCTGGTTTTACTACTCGGGCAGTGGAGGGGAAGGGAAAAAACACTGGGGAAAAAAACCTGAAGATTGGATTGAGTGTAATAAATGGCTTCCCAGATTTTAACT